ATGAGTGTTACTGTCATATTCAGTGAAAACCATGCTCAGTAACCCTTCATTTGTTAGACTGTTACGCTGTTTGTAGGGTCATGGCTGGAACACTGCCTTTTACTAATGTAGTTTCCCTTGCCTCTCCACTCAAGGTTTTAGAATTAATTCCTCTACTGTAGCATTTTTTTTCAGTCAAAACAGTGACATAAAAATGTCAGGATTACTGAAGGTATGTATAGATGCAACAGAGAAGCTGGTCACTGGAAAAAATAGAAAAAATTGTATTTGACCTTTCAGCCTGCTCTTTGCAGGGAAGGCATTGGGTTTTTTTAGGTTTGTTTGTTTGTTTAGGGTTTTTTGTTTGTGTTTTTTTGGCTGTTTGTTTTTGGGTTTTGGGTGTTTTTGTTTGGTTTGTTTTTTTGTCAGCACAAAAAATGATGTTCTTGTTGTAAGGACAAGCAAGAAGTTTCTTAGACTTTAATTTTTCTTAACCTGCCAAATTTGCAAACAGCAAATTACATGTGAATATTTTATGACAGAAAAATGCTTGGTTTAGCTCATTAGCCATGTTCTCCACAGATCATTCTGTTTCCTTCTATTCAGAGAAAGGCATGTTTTTCTCAGTACCAATAATTAATCCCTTGAAACTAGCCAAATCAGAGCTACAGTATGGTAACTGACATCAGCGTAACCTGGTATTGACTAAGAATGTAATATTCAAAGAAATGCTGTGGACACACTGGTTTGTAGGGAGTACTTGGCTTACATGTAGTTGGTTTAGCCTTTCCTGGAAGACTGACTCTTTTCAAAGAATTTGTAAGTTTCCATACAGCTGTTTATCTCTCACATCCCCATCTGCTTTGTTTTTTAATATTCCAGTGAAATCCTGTATTTGCTAAACTGCAGTAGCACAGGTGAACTGCTTCCTGTTTTGTTTTTTGTTGTTTCTTTTTTGTTTGTTAGTTTTGGCTTGGGTTTTTTTTGTTGCTTGTTTGTAGCACTGGATGAACCAATACTTTAGTAGCTATTAAGATGAAAGCCACAAATGGTAACTGTATCTGAAAAAAACATCTGCCACAGAGATGTATTCAATAGGTAGCTGATGTCTTGAAATAACACAGTATATTGCTCAGCTGCTGAGAATGCAGTGTAGTATGATGATTTGATATTAATTGAAGACCTCTGTTTGGAGTTATCAAAATGGTGAGAGAGCACATCCAAAAGTGTGTAATTGAATTAATGGAAGTCTAATAATTTAAAACTCAGTGTTATAGAGGTCTGCCTAACAGGAAGGATAAACAATCTTGCATGAAAAATTATTCCTCTTCATGTAGCATCTGTTGGTGGCTTCAGGGAAACAGATGAATAAAAAGGAAAGGAACTTAAATATAGATTTCCAGTGTATGGGATGGGTCAGTATGAAGGTGGTGTTTTGAAATGCCGATTCTAGAAATGCAATACTGTTAATTGAGGGCAGTTAATAGAGATAAAGTTGCAAGTTGCTGGTATCATTATCTAAAGCAGCCTTTCCCTAGCTTTTCCAAACTGTATGCTATTCCTGTATTATTAATGCATAAGTCAGAGAGGTACAATTCCCTTTCTGGTAGGCCCTTTCTCATCTCAGGTTCTCTAGAATGGAATTCCAAGCCTGGAACTGGGCTTGGTCCATAGGTGTTAGTTTTTAAACATCTGCTTAAATTGAGTATCTGCTTCCTCTTGTGTGATGTGGGCATGACTCAAGTATATGCCTACATATTAATTGTATTCTCACTGCAATTAATAGTTCATTATTTTTGTATGCTATTTAATAATAGTTTGGAGAAGAGGAGACTGAGAGGAGACCTCATTGCTCTCTACAACTACCTGAAAAGAGGTTGTAGTGAGGTGGGTGTTGGCCTCCACTCTCAAGTGAATAACAATTGGATTAGGAGAAATGGCCTGAAACTGCACCAGGGGAGGTTTAGATTAGATATTAGGAAGAACTTATTTACCAAAAGAGTAATCAGACACTGAAACAGGCTGCCCAGGGAGGTGGTAGAGTCACCATCCCTAGAGGTCTTAAAAAATGTATAGATACGGTGCTTCAGGATATGCTCTAGTGGGAGTGGGCATGATGGCTGTTGTTGTGTTGTTGTTTGGTGGTTTGGTGTGGGGGGCTTTTTGTTTGTTTGTTTTTCCCTCTTGGGTGGACAGGTGGATGATTGGACTTGGTGATCTTAGAGGTAATTTCCAACTGTAACAATTCTGTGATTCATACTAGTTAAGTATTAGGTAAGCAGGAATATCAGAATTCCTTTCTTTGTTTCACTGGACTAACCCAGTTCTTTTCATATTACCTGCCTGGTTCCTATGTTTTCTAACACATCTTAAAAAGAGAACAAGTTTGTTTCAGTATCAATACTTCAGAGCCTGCTTACTGGGTTGCCTTTGTAGTGTCAACTTTTTTTTAGGGCTTCTAAAAATGTAGATAATTCTCAGATAGTGTTTTAAGTTTTCATCATATTTTTATTTTATTTCATGCAGCCTTGGATTGAATGCAATGTCTGTGTATTAGGTCTATATTTGTACAGATATTCTAGAGAAAGATACACTGAGGCAGACAAGACTACCTTTACAAAAATGAAAACTGTTTCTGAGTGTAATTTCTCTATTTGAATTCTGCTTCCTTAAGGTAACTGTGATTAGCATCCCAGCATTGGTGTAATCTAAATCAATACTTATTGTTACTAAAATAAAAGACAAAGTGTTGAAGTTTCTGGTCCAGGTCCATGTCAAACAGTGAGTCCTGATTCCTGTGCACCCCTTCTCATCATGCGTTCTCTTCCATTTAGTCATTGAGTTCAGGAAATAGGTATTCCACGAAATATGTTGTTTCTCAATCTACATGAATGTTACTGTCATAAAGTAATTAAAATAATGTACACATTGAAAGACAGTATTATATTACTTGTAGCTACTGAGCCTGTAAATAATTAAAAACTACCAGTGAAAAAAGCTGGTGACCCTATGCCACAGACAGGGTTGGGGGAGACGATTGCAGCTGAGGCCTGTGAGTGCCCCCCGGGCCTTGGGGATGTGTCTGTGTTGCCGAAAAGTCAGTATTATGTTTTATTACAGTGTCTGGAATATACAACTGCACCATGCACTTAAAAAAAACAACCAACCAAAAAAACCCCAACAACCAAAAAAACCCTAGGTTTCTTTTCCCTAGTTTATAATCAAAAGACTGATGGTGATCAAGGTATTTATTTGGGACTGTGGTGATCAAGGCATTTATTTGGGACTGATCCTCTGTGGTTTGCTTATGGTATGGGTCACACGTTGTCCCTAGCCAAACATTACTCTCCTGGAGATGCCTTGTGCCATGCACCACTGTCCTGAGCAATGAGCTTTTTTTTGTAGGTTGTGCTCTGTGTATCTTTCAATGCTAAGTGCAAAACATCTGATTCATTGTATCAGAATTTGTCAGGGAATGAGGTCCAGTTATACAAAGTAGCTTTTATCTTCTGTATGGTTATTTGCTTAGGAAGTACCTAATTACTGTTGTAACTCTGAGTAATTTGTTATTATCAATATAGCTGCATCATGCACTGTGTAGTAATTCCTAGTAGGAAGACAGCCTGCATTTTGGGAGGGAGACTGAGAGAGGGGAATCTGATTAGCTAAGTTGCAATACTGAGATTCTCTAAAAACAGCTGTTGGTCTCCATATGATGTTTTTAGTGTGTCCTGCTGTCCTTTGTTGACAGATTCAGTGCAACTGCTTTGTTTTTTCAGTGCTGCTCTCAGGAAGTGCCTTTGCCTTTATGTCCAGCTGTGTCCTCAAAGTCATCTCACAACTATAGCCATGATAGTGTAGTATTCCTACTGTAGTAATAATCACTAAACCTGCATGAAACATCTTTGCTTGTATAATGGATATTCTGAAAGGAATTAATGACAATTGATTTCCTGCTTAGTGGCCTATAGGCAAGTCATCAATAAACAAGAGGTGTCAAGCTGTTCGTGTGTGCAGAGTGCTTAAAGCAGTAAGGTAGATATATAGGTGCAGTTCTAGCACTCAGCATTTGCCTAAGCACTGAATTTTGCTGCCTCCTTGTTGCCTGTTTAGCATAACTTGTCAAGTATTCAGAAAGTCATTAATATTATGCTGTCACCAGAGGCACGCTCACAGCACAGTCTGATACTTTGCATGGGATTTGTTTTAAACTGTACAATTCAGGCTGGCTTTTCTTATTATTTCCCTTGATTTTTTTGCAGCATCCATGACTAGCACATAGCAAGCAGTTAGAAAGCACAACATCCTTGCTGCAGCATCTGTGATAGACTGATATGAATTCCAATGCATGTGACTCATCAGTCAGTGTAGTGCAGCTGAGGCTTCTCTTTAAATTGTAGCTCTTCATTCTATGAGAACCATTTACTGACAGAAGAATTCCTGGAATAGATTAAAGACTTTCATTGAAACACTGGTTCATGGATAGCACGGCAGCTCCCTGCAGATTCCCTCTGCTGTATTTTGTTCCTGTCACACTTGATAGTTATTGTCTTGTTACATCATGCTTCTCAGTTAAGGTTTACTCAGATAATTAATTTATGATAGTAAGTTAAAATTGTATGTAAATTATGTTCACACCTGGTACACATTGTTTTGAGCTAATATATCAAAGGTCTTTTAGTGTATGTCTGACAAACTCATTTATATTTAGTTCTATAATTGCATATGTAGCCCTTGGCAATTGTACTGCTTATAGGGAAGGAACATATAGCATATTTGATGCCAAATACAAGTTTTTAAGATTGGATGTCAAGGAGAGTATTATTATCTAGTTGTTAGTCTGGTACCTCATAGAATGTTTCCTTCTTTATTTCTGAAGAAATATGGCCAAGTAGATGCTTGATTTCATCTGGCAGGAATCAGGAAGACTGATTTGCTTTATTCATAGCATTTTACCTACAGCTGTACACTGACTTTTGCTGTCAAATTTCTGAACATTAACTCAAGAACTTACTTTACAGGAGGCCCAGAAGATCAATGGTGGTGGAGATACGCAGGCAGATGGGGCCTGCAAAACAACAGATGAAAAAGAGGAGAATGTGGCAGCAGAAGTGGGATGGATGACCTCTGTGAAGGACTGGGCAGGAGTCATGATATCTGCCCAGACATTAACTGGCAGAGTACTTGTAAGTTTTCTATTATTTTCTACATTCTTACTTTAAAGAACATTTTTTAACAAGCTCTGTGACCCAGCAGTAATGGAGGATTTTTGATTGCTTTGTTGCTTCAGAACCAAGTAAATCACATTTTTTTTTCTTTTGAAAGTAAAATAGCAGACTAATTTCGAGTGCAAGAGAGAAGCAGGGACAGCAAGTAAGAAAAGCTTGGCTTTCAGCCAACCCCCCAGCCTGTTTAAGTATTCTGGCACCATGGTTTTTGAACCATATTACAAACACTGAGTTTAGTGATTTTATATTATGTTGTAAAACTTTAGGCTTATTTAGTCTGGAAGTAAGATTGTGCTAGCAAAAATGGAAGCCAACTTGGAAAATAAGCATAGTATTACAAACACAGATAGTGATCAGAACTGTAAAGCAAAGACAATTTGGAACTGGCTGTGCAATAGGATTTGTGATACTTCCAATAGAATACTTATGATTTTATTTTTTCTTCATTTTTCCTTATGGTTAGGAAATCCTTCAAGTGTGTGAACAGCTATGAATCAAATAGAGCCACAGTTCAAATATTTATGAGGTGGTTTAAAGTTCCTCTGAAAAAATTTCATAGTTATCACTTTATTTGAATAAAATTAATTTAGAGCCTTGTCAAATAATACTTAATTGCCAAGGGGTTTCTGTGGACTTCACTGCATTAAAAGGTGTCCTGTGTGATTTGGAATAGTTTTCTTGTGAGAATTCATGTGCTTAAGAACTAACAGCTAAAGTGGTTTAAATACCATTTAACCTTTTGAGAATCCCAGTGAGACTTTGGAACTATGTTGGGTTAAACTGAAAACACAATTTGTGTCCTTGATTGTTTACTTAAATAAGACATATTTTACTGTGAGTCAGTTCTTGTTTATAGAGTAATTATTTGGATGGAGGGATGGAAGGGAAGGGAAAGAAAAGGAATTGTACTTCCCAGTCAGGTCTTCTACAGTGCAAAATTGAGGTGGCTCAATTGCTACTGCCTTGTTTAGTTCTTCAATAATACTATAGAATCATAGAATCATTCAGGTTGGAAAAGACCTTTAAGATCATCCAGTCCAACCTTTAACCCAACTTTACTATCCTGCCGCTACTAGCCCACTGCTAAGTCATGTCCCTAGAGTGTCATATCTGAATGATTTTTACACACATTCAGTGATTCAGCCACTTCAGCATTATATGTCTTCTATGCGAAACCGACATAGTGATTTTCATATGAAAAGCAGCATATTGGTCTTTTGTATGTTTTTGTGACACCTTCAGTATTAAAAATGACAAATCTTAGAGCCATTCTTCTTGCTCCGGTTTCAGTGTCAGGACTAGAAATCACCCAAAACTAGAGTCCTATCCTGTTAGCTATGCAATCAGAAATTGGCTTGTGTTGACTTTACTGAGGTACAAACTGACAATCAAGACCAAAATTTAAAATATAAAAATATAAATAATGTTTTAGTTTGATTTTTTTTTTTCAGGATATTGAGAGAAGCTATTGAATTCCATTCGATTACCTTGCTGATTTATTTTGGGGTATTTCTTTTGTACTTGCAGTTTGCCATTGCATCTTATAAGGGGCTAGTTAATTTCCTGACTTTTTTTTTTTTTTTTTTTAAGACAGTTGTCTAACATGATTGGTTCGGATTATTTCTGAGAGTATATTTATATTCTTGTCAAGGTGTAAGAGCAGGTAATGTACACATCTGGGATTCACTACGACTGACTGTCAAAAATAAATAGCCATGAATGGAGTCTGTTAGTTAATTTTGTTCAGTTTAGAAAACACAATGCATTTATTGTAATACAGTATTCATCAGTTTCAAGTGTAGATTCTGGAGGACTATTTCCAGTGTCAACATTGACTGTTCATGTTAATTTTACTTTAGGTTTGTATTTGCTAAAGGTTAACTGCTTCAATGAACATTTGTACTAGAATATTAGCATTATTTGTAGATACAGAATGTAGCTAAGTCAGTATTTTTATCAAAATATATTGTTTGTAAATATTATGACTTACTCATGAATTCCTACTAACTGAATACACCCTGTTCTTGCTAGGTATTATATTTCTGAATCAAAAGTGTGGAATTATTTTTTTCCTCCTGAAGAAAGAACTGGTGGCTTTACAGTGTTATGAAATCAAAACTGTATGAGATATCTGCAGCTAAATAAGTTGTAGTATATTGTTACATACTGTGAGAGTTTAATTAAAAAAACCCAACAAAACAGTCTTATACCTCTAAAGTTTTTAAAAAGACATTTTAAAAGTGGTCCACTGAAAATGGACTTGGAAAACAGTTGTAATTGACTTTCAGGTCAGCATGGTCACCTGAAGGCAGTTGCATAACTGCCTAGGTTTATTTGACAAGTGAAGGAGACAAGTTAGCAAAGTGTTTGACACACGTCAGTGTGAAGTAGAATCTTATTTGTATTTTCTACTAATGAAAAAAAACAAACAACTTCTGGAATTACTCTTATCTGGACAGTAGGTTTCTCTAAAGTGAATCTTAATGGAACGTCAAGTGCTGTTTGTGGAATCAAAACTGAATATTTTTTGAACCTCTTTGTACTCAAGTCTCTCACTTTTAACATGTCTAGTCTAGCTTTTAATACTTCCCTAGTAACCTTAAAAAATAAGTTTCTAATTTATCAGATCAGCTTATTCAGATGCTTTGTGAGTGTTGGAACAAATATTTGCATAGTGGTTGCTCCTATAATTATCTCTGTAATATTTAAACTTCATGGCTACCCACAGGTGAATAAAATAAAGGCCAACAGTATGGAAAATACAGGACAGACTTTATTTTTAAAGGTCACAGCTTCAGATCCATGCAGTTGTATTACAAAATTGGATATTTTCTGCAACACAGGACCATTTGCCCAATTTTCTCACAAAATCAAATATTTCTGTTTAGAAAATACGTGCAAATCAGTAGGCAATCCACACTGGTTTTCTTAAAAGCATTTAATTCTTTGGTAGTTGTGGAGGAGGGAATATATATATAACAGAATTATTATTTTTTTTTAAAAGCCGTAATAAAAAAAACCAACAACGTATTTATAGTCTCCTCCCATTCTATTGATAGAAGAGGAAGAATTCTATTCAAAGAGTAAACAAAGGAGAAATTAAAAAAAAAAAATCTCAAACCCTGAAATACTTTGCCTTTGACTTCAAGTAAATGTTCTGTTTCAAATAAGAATAAATCAACCTTTTTAAGAATCTGAAACTTTCTGTAAAACCTATTTGTGATGAATGTGTGGGCCTGCCAGCATTATTTGCTGTGAACTGTGGAAAAAACAAATCAAAACAGGCTTATGATTTAAGTTTTCTCAGTATTATTTACATGTAAACGTTAGAGCTAACTAGGTGAAGCCAAAGATATGGGTATAGTGCAGATTAATCTCTGTATGCAGACAAACTTCCACACATTCTCTGTGAAGAGGTTCAGAACACTGGTAGAATTGTCTCCCTGGCACAAAAAAGCCGAAAAAAAAAAAAAAAAAAACGTTTTTATAGTCCCCCCCCTTTCTTGATAGAAAAGGGAAAAATTTCTTTTAAAAGAGAAAAAAAGGGAAAATTAAAAAAAAAAAATCTCAAACCCTGAAATACTTTGCCTTTGACTTCAAGTAAATGTTCTGTTTCAAATAAGAATAAATCAACCTTTTTAAGAATCTGAAACTTTCTGTAAAACCTATTTGTGATGAATGTGTGGGCCTGCCAGCATTATTTGCTGTGAACTGTGGAAAAAACAAATCAAAACAGGCTTATGATTTAAGTTTTCTCAGTATTATTTACATGTAAACGTTAGAGCTAACTAGGTGAAGCCAAAGATATGGGTATAGTGCAGATTAATCTCTGTATGCAGACAAACTTCCACACATTCTCTGTGAAGAGGTTCAGAACACTGGTAGAATTGTCTCCCTGGCACAAAAGTTCCTCATGTTGGTGCTGTTATGTAAAACTCAGCGTTGTTTACACCTACACTTTGTTGCTTTTTTTTGAAAGACGGAAGAACTGGTGCTGCCGGTTTCATGCATTGCTCCACAGACGTAGTCAATTATATCTGATACTTCAATACAAAATGCTTGGTTTGTGTCATTTTTTAGTATGCTATTCCCTCATTACATGAGCATGCAAGAGCAGGCTTATTGGAAAGGACAATATCTCAAATACATCCTGTCAATATCTTCACTTCTATCTTTACCTCTTGGTTACATGAGGTAGGAGTTGCCTCTGTTCTCTGCTCCTCAGGATGTTTTTGTATCAATTCCAACAGAGAGCCATTAGGAAAGAGATTTGTTATTTCAGTCTCTAGGAGTATTTTTCAATTTATTAAAGAAATTGGGATGGGGGGGGCAACATGAGAAACAAGAATGGGAAATTTACTTGCAAAATAATCCATCAGATTTTCAGAACATTTGACCATCACTTCTTGTATCATTTTAATGTCTTGTTAATGACAGCAAGATTAGACAGAACAGATGTAAAAGTGGCATGCACATGGCATTGTGCTAATATTGCAGTTGATTCAGTAGTTCATGTGAATATGGTAGTGAAACAGAACTGGACATTCTCACTGTTTTAGGAGCTAAATTATACATGGGACATTTATTTCAGAAGTGGTTTATCGCACTGCCCACGTTCATCTGAAGGGTAGGCTTTGGAGGAAGACATTTGTAGAGGATGATCCAGAATATCCTTCAGTTAGAGAAACCATTTTTGTTTTCAAAACTAGTGCAGAAAACTGAGATGGCTAGGCATGGTGCTTACAGTTCCTTTTCTCCTCTTCCTTAAAGTTTTAAAAGCATGGCTGGAACTTAATGTGCTTGGTGGCATAACCTTTAAAAAGGTGACTTTTGCTCTTAAATAATGTAGATGAGAACTTAGCATACTGTTTAAAAACATGCCCGTGTTAAATTGCATAAGCACATGATTTAAGAGCATGCTAATTGAACTAATTCAGTTCTGTTTGCAGCTGATGTTG